AGTTTGAGTCAAGATAATTCAAATCTGAAGGGAAAATAAAGTTTGACAATATTTGGTAGTAACTAGATAGTAATTATTTAACTAGCTAGTACTTAAATAATTAAATAATGCAATAATCTCTAGGAATCGTACAAATATGTTGATTTGAAACTAATTTGAATGTTCAAAAATTTCTAAAAACAACGTTTGCTCATACTATCTACACTGACATATATGTTGTAATATTTTGTGAAATGAATAAGCCAGTTGTGACTAACTTAAGCCCCAGTGGCTTAAGCTCAGTTTATTTTACCTTGGAACAAAGCTCTTCAAAAAAGGGGGTTGATGATCAGAGATACTGAATAAGACCATTTACTTAGAGACTATACTTGAAGACTTCTGGAAGCATCATGGAAGGCCAGGTACTGAATGGGCAACCTGGAATTTTCACCTAATAAGCCCCTTGATGAGATACAAAATGCCTTCTAGAAGTGAGGCAAACACTTGTGGTGTGTGTAGCCAAAAAGTAGGAGTTAATTGTGTAGTTGATGTATTTATTATTCTTTTAGATTGCCAATAACAGGAGTCCTTTATTAGTTAATTTATTATTTATTACTTCTGGATTGATTTTGGTGGCAGTGAATTTAATTATGAAGTTTCAAATGTAAAAGAATGTAAACTTAGCATTAAGCTTTAGCTTAACATTTTTGGTAGATTAAATTTTCATTTAAAGACAATTTTAAAAAACTATATAGATTTGAATAAAAATTAAAATTCATTATGTACATTTTAATTTCTTTCAGTTATCTGTTCAAATATTCAGAAGAATACTTTTATATTCCCGTTTCACTTATGAATGATCCATAAGTATCTTTTGCATATTATAATATCTGAATGCCCAACTATTTAGGCCTTTCATCTTGTTAAGCAAACTCGATTCATTGCTAACCCTTACATTGCCTAATATTAATTATAAGATAAAGTACTTCCATTTCAAAAGTGAGTATCAGCTCTCATGTATATGGATTATTTAAATTTATATGGGAGAGAAAATAACACATATCTAATGTATTTGTTCAAGTTTGCCTATACTACATGTTGGGTTAATTGTATGTTTTTTCTCCTTCCTAAATGTATCCAAAACAGTGACAATTGGATTAGTCACTTGGTAGTTTATTTTTAACTAAACAGTCTACAACTGTGACAAGCTCTGGAGCTTCTCTGAACAGCAAACAACAAATTACGCCAATTACTCATCACAGCACGTTTAATTTTACTTAGCAGTACTGTATACGATCAGTTTTCAGGCACTGACCTTCTGGCAGTGAGATACTGTTTTACTATTCAAAATTATGTAAACTGCCCTGCTTTCAGTGGTATTTAAAGTGTATTAATTGTTAATGTGTAGCCTTTTTGAATCCTAGTCAAGAGCAGACCGAATTCAGTTCTCCCGTTTGGGAAAGAACATCAGTTGCTCCCCTCAGAGTCTTCGCTTAGCCTCCGGAGACTCTCTCAGCCGTATTGTTTGTGTGAGTTTCTCCTGAGGCTGCTTGCTCTTGGAGACAGAGATTTTTATCACAGCCCCTGCTTTATTACAGTCTTGCTTTTTAAATGTTAACCAACTGCTTGGTGTGGTGCTAGCGTTGTGGAAATCTCAGGAGGAGCATTGCTGGGTCTTCAAACAGCTCCTCCAACAACCGACTTTCTTCATGCTGCTCCTTTTCGCTGGTGCCAGCCACTTCAGATGGTTCAGGTGCTTGGCGTTGCTGCAATATTTTCTTCTTATCAGGTATTTCAATGGGCATTTAATAAGGGGGGAAGCATTTAAAAATCACCATGCACTTTCTAAGATCTTTCTGTATAGAGAATTGGCTGTGCAAATGCAGCAGGAAATATATCGCATGGTAACAGAGGCAGTAGAAAATATGTGTCAATACTTACGAATTCTGTGGTATTTATTAGAGCTGGAAATTGATATTATTTTAAGAAGTATCCTGTATGTTTGCTTGTGCAGAGTTTATAATGTGCCTTAGGTCATTCATAGTGTATATGATTTTACAACAGGCTGATTAGAAATATTGTTCTAAGACAAATATTAAATTTTTCAGTAAAGGTATTATATTGCCCTTGCTCTCTTAGAATAGGAATGGTCAGAATTCTGTTCTATTTGCAGTCAGTTGGTTAGGAATGCTTGTTCTGTTCTTGAGTAATGAAAAACCTTGTCACTTAACCACATGTTGTTACTACCTTTGGATATCATTCTTTTATTTGAGATTTACCAGCTTGAATGGTTATAGGATTCGGCAGAAGCAACACTAAGCCACTTAGATCATGACTTTGTCAGCCTGACCAGTCCAACTGATAGAGCTCTTTTGCCAGTGAAGATAACTCAGTGGAATGACTAAAACTATGCATTATCATGGGCATGATATGGGCAACACTGGGGAATAGCAGAGTTACCCTATGTAATTTCAACATATCCCATTGGTGGCATAAGCTGGGCTTATTATCAACTGATAACTGATTTTAATGAAATGGGGAGAATACGAGAGCCATATGTACTCTGCTGCCTCAGCTGAATTCAGATCTAGTTACATGAGGCTATATATACTGTCTCATGTACCCAGATTTGAACTCAAGGCAAATTTTCATAGGAATTTACTATTGATTGTATTGTTTGTGTAATTGCAGCAGGTTTTTTTTCAAAAGCACTCATCGCAGAAATACTTATTTTTCAGTATTTATATATTGCCCAATTGCAAAAACTCTAGGCAATTCACAAAACAACTAATAAAAACATTTTAAAAACAATCCATATAAATCCAGAATTAGAAGACAACACACAAAAATGGAAAGGTTGCCTGAAAAGCCAAGTTTTAATTGCTTTCCTGGAGATGTGGGAGGACCATCTGAATCTTGGGGATTGCTTATGCTGGAAGTTTAAAGCAGTAATGGAGAAGTATTGCTTCCCGGCCACCATCCCCTTCACCTCCCAGCTGAAGAAGCCTATAGCATCCCCTCCTGTACAGAAAGACAGGTTGGTCAGATTATTATGGAGAAGGTGGTCCTAAAGATACTCTGGTCCCATGTCCTGAAAGGCTTTAAGGTCAGTACCCCATCTTGAATTGTATTCAGAAACCTACTGGAAGCCAGTGCAGTTCTTGCAGTATAGGTGATATATTACTGAACCAGCTCTCACCAGTCAGCATGTGGGCTGCTGCATTCTGCATCAGATGCAGTTTCTGAGTAGTCTTCAAGGGCAGCTCAGAGAAGGGTATTGAAATAGTACAATATAAAAGTAATGAGAGTAGGGGTGACTGTTGCCAGGGCCTGCCACTCAAGAAAGGCCATAATTGGCATATCAGCTGTAACTAGGCAGAATTAACTCTAGTCATGTCCTCCACCTGATGGACCGTCCAGATGGAACCGTGAGTCCAAGAACATTCCCCAGTTGCAGATAAGCTCCTTGGGGGAGAATCTGGCAAGATATTATCCCACTGGGTAACAGCATTCAACTCCAAGCTCACACAAATGACTTTATGAGCAAAATGTCTACCAAATCTGTCACAGCAGCCAAAGGAAGATTTACTGACCTGACCTGTGTCATCAGGGAACATACTGACTTAAAATGCACTGCTGGACAACATTTCACTGATGAAACGCTCTTAAGTCCAAAAATGTCCATACAAAAGTGTATGCTCTTTATTATTCTATTAAAAACAATTGGAGTTAAATGCTTAGCTATGTGTGTATTATGTCTATGGTGATTATTCTTATATAAGAAAAATGTAAAAGCTGCATTTAGGTGACAATAGTGACTAAACTCAGCTCAACCCGTGGTCGTCTTGTTGTTGTTATCATTATTATTACTATTATTCACACAGCCAGATGCTTAGACTGGATTTGGCATTTTTATCCACCTATCAAGTCCTTTCCAAGGACCTGGGATAAGCAGA